GAAGCAGAGGCAGGAGGATTGCCGTGAGTTAGGTGCCAGTTGGTCTACAGAGTGAGACCCTGTCTCAAGAAAACAAAACAAACAAGAACAAAATCAGTGTTCAAACAAAAAGTTCCGGTGTTTTGCACGCGGCGATCCCATATCTTTGCCGTCCAATCTCTGTAAAGCCGTCCCCACGCTTGGGATGTGCTGCCTGCCTCGTTTCACTCGATCGGACCCCAAACACTTGTCTGGCCCCAGGGAAGTCCTGACTGATGCTTCCGGCAGACGAGACAGGATCTCATTTTATGGCTGCATAATATTCCCCCTTGTTATTTTACATATACACCAGTTTATTTTTTCTTTGTTTTTTTCTTGTGCTACTGTTGTTAGAACCTGGGCATGTTCTACCCTGAGCTGCACCTCTGGGCCTTTTGACTTTATTTTGAGGTGGGGTCTCACTAAGTAGACCAGGCAATCCTCCTGCCTCAGCCTCCCAAGAAGGTGATTTTGCAGGCCTGTGCTGCCACGCCCTGCCACGTTTTCTTCATCAGCAGGGTGTGTGTGTGTGTGTGTGTGTGTGTGTGTGTGTGTGTGTGTGTGTGACGTCAGCTGACTCTGCAGCAATTGACTGTGCAAGACGTGGGCATGAAGGGTCCTTGAGGAGCCAGCTTGCTCCTGCGGGACACGCTCAATAGTGGGGGTTTTATCCTCGGGGTCTCCGTTGTCCAGGGGGCTGTACTGACTTATGTTCCCTCGAGCAGCATTCAAGTCCCCTCACAGTGCTGACCGTGTCCCTCCGTGACTGATGGCGCTGGCAGTTCTGGATGCCGAGGCTTTGCTTTGTGCTTGGCCATGTGTCCCCTCTTTTGAGAAAAGTCTTTTTAGATCATTTGTTCATCCTTAAATCAGATTATCACAGTTGTTTTTATTTTTTATTTTGGGGTTTTTTTTTTTGGAGACAGGATCTCACTATGTAGCTCAGGCTGGTCTCGAACTCACTGAGATCCTCCAGCCTCAGCCTCCCGAGTGCTGGGTTAATGGGCGTGCGCCACCACACCAGGCAAGAAACTTCTTATCCTGATGTGATCCCATTTGTCTGTTTTGTTTTTGCTGCCCATGCTTTTGTGTTCTAATCCAAAACAATCAAGTTCTGCCCCAGTGGCTAGCAGTGTTTCTCTGCATTTTCTTCTGGCCCTTTCCCATTTGTTTTGAGTTGACTTTTTCTGCCAAGAGGAGGGGGCTAATTTCATTCTTCGGCAAGTGGATGTTCAGTGTCCCCAGCTCCGTTTTGGCAGGAGGCCACCCTCTCTCCGGCTTTTCTGAGTCCGCCTTAGCAGCACACGGTAATCACACTCATGGTGTGGCCCCGGTACACGGACACGAGTCTGCCTTCACGCCTCGCCCGTTCCCTTTCCGTGTGTCCAGCCCTGTGCTGTTGGCCTCCTGCCCGCCTGTCCCCGGCGTTCTGCTTGGCCCGCGCCGGTTTCTGCGCTCCCCGTTCTTCTGGTCACCATGGCTTTGCAGCGGGGTGCCCAGACTCCCCCAGCTTTGTCCTCCTCTGCTCAGGTGCTTGGGCCACTCTGGTCTTCTGGGCCCCTCTGAAGGTCACACACTTGTTTCTCCGTCCCTAGGAAGAATTCCCTGTGTGAATGGCTGTGGGCAGAGTGGCCGTTCCCACAGGTTCAGCCTTCCGTGAACATCGAGGGACGGTGTGCCTACCCTTTTCTGTTTCTCTCATCGGTGTTCTGTAGCTGTCCACGTGCAGGCCATCTTCTTCGACAGCTCTGCTTATTCGGAGGCCTCTGTCTTTCTTGTGTGGCTGGGGTGAGCGGGGCTGCTCTCCCGACTTCCTCCGAAGTGTGTTCACGCCGGCCGGGCCTGCTGGTGCGCCGAGCTGTGGCCCTGCCTGTCCCTCACTGGCCTCACAGGCGCCCACGCAGTGCGCAGGGCCAGGAAGCCCCAGGACCGGGCCGTGTCACACCCCTCAGGCCGCCCAGCAATGCCCAGTGACCGGTTCTGTGTCCACCGAGAGGACAGCGTCCCGCAGGGAGGTCCCAGCAGACTGAGGCCACCCAGCCCCACCTCTGGAAACTGGGCTCAGGAGAGAGCGCAAAGCCGCAGGGACAGGCTGGGCGGACGGTGTGCGTGTGTGTGCGTGTGTGTGCACACGCGCGAGTGTAGGGCTGCAGGGATTCCTTGAGGGCCAGGTGAGTCACGGCCCAGAGGAGGGCACGGGAGCAGGTTTCCCGGTTCAGTGGAAGGAGAGACCCGAGCCACACACCCCGTCCATCCGTCCGTCAGTCCGTCCGTCCGTCCGGCTTTGGGCCCAGGGTTGTACCCTGAGTGCCCTGTGTCTGCAGATGCAGAGGGTGGCAGAGTCCGGCGGGAGAGGCCGAGGGACCCGGTCAGCGCTCCCGCCCTGTGCCCACGTCTCACTGTCCCCACCCCGACGCGCCCACACCCAGCACCCGAGCCACACACCCCGTCCATCCGTCCGTCAGTCCGTCCGTCCGTCCGGCTTTGGGCCCAGGGTTGTACCCTGAGTGCCCTGTGTCTGCAGATGCAGAGGGTGGCAGAGTCCGGCGGGAGAGGCCGAGGGACCCGGTCAGCGCTCCCGCCCTGTGCCCACGTCTCACTGTCCCCACCCCGACGCGCCCACACCCAGCACCC